AGGTCAAACATATTATCTCCCATGTAGAATAAATTCAATTTGAAATCAGAAAACAGAATACTAAACTACGCAATTCGACTATTGGATTTTATAGATTCGAATGTTAACCCTATGCTGCACGGTGGTCGAGTGGCACACGAATACGTCGGATTTATGCGTCAAATTGGAAAATACGTTGTTCCGTTTCATACCAAATGTCAGTGTAACTGTGACAGGCTTTATTACAAATTATTTTAGATACGCTCGTGGTACATATTTGGAATGTCTGTTTGTAATATTAAAATAACTGATTTTTACTACATTCATATGAATAAATATACGATATATATATGCCGGAATACTCAAACGCTACTCAATTTTAAGTCGCGCTTAAGTATAGTTTTGTCTCCGCAAATTCTTTGTAAAATGACAAAGATGGCACGATATTTAATCAAACTTAAAATTGAGTAACGTTTCAGTATTCCGGCAATAGTACCTATACCAAAATTTTTTAAAAACAATTTTTACAATTTTTTGTCTGTCTGTCTGTCTGTTTGTACAGGCTTTGGAATGGCTGGACCAATTTTACAAGACTTTTATTGACAGGTAGCTGATATACTAAAGAGTAATATTAGGCTACTTTTATTTTTGAATTTTAATACAAAAAGAAGTTGTTTTCTAAAATTCAAATTTGGACGAAGTCACGAGCTAGTGTTCTATAAATTTAACAGGAATAGTAGTGAGGCAGGATTGTAAATAATTTATTGTTTTAAACTCTGTCAGTCAGTACATGTACCTATGTAGATTTTTGTTTTCTATACCTGTTCATATTGATGTTCCTGTTTATACTGTTACATCGGGACATGAACAAAACAATGTCGGAACTAATAAAGTAATAATCTCAAAACAACAATAACAAATTCATAGTTAAACTCATAAAACTCAAACGATATTCACAGCGACACAACGTAACGACACAAACTGATTTTCATATTTATTACTTTATTTATATGATAAAAGTAACTACTTTGTAGCACTATGTAAAAGTCACATTTTAATGCGTTCTTAACTCCAGACCCCACTGAGCTGAAATGGGGTTAAATGTACAAAGTTGCGGTTGAGATGAAGCAGATTGAGAATTACGTCACAAAGTTGTATTAAAAAGGAAAACTATATTTTACAAGAGAACTCGAATGAAGTATAACACTTCGAAATAAAATCTACAACATCGCAGACAAATATAATACATAAATGCAAATTTATACGTAACATAATCAAAGCGACGCGAGGAACGAAGTATTCTAGATACTTGTAAATCTTAAGGTTTACGATAGCTCGGGACGCAGAGCTTTTGAGGATCTCACGTCTCCAATCGTACCTACATTATAGCCTTTATAAGATGTCAGTATACGTGGAATGGTTAAAACGATGTTAAGTAAACGATTCGTATTCATACGGGCTTTATTTTGACATGGGATGTACTCTCGTATCGTCAGTAATTCACCCAAATTACTAGATGCCGTCATATTCCTATACTAAATTACGTAAACGTGCGACCTCTTACTCAGCGCCATTTTAGTGATCTTACGCGTTTGTGAGGCCACTAAAATGTTACTTTTTATAACTTGTGCTTACGAGGATAAGAATGAAACCTGTGGTGATTTCACATTTATAACATAATATCACGCCTTTTATAACCCGAAGGGGTAGGCAGAGGTGCACACAGAAGTAACATCCACTTTTCACTATTTATGTTGATAAGTTTTTTTTAACCCAGTATATTTTGCCCGACCCGGGAATCGAACCCGAGACCCCTTGCATGGCCAGTCGCACTTGCGACCACTCGGCCAACGAGGCAGTCATATTTATCTTTCGAAATAAAATCTTTTACACTTAGTACTTCGATGTGCTAAGCGTATTTTAATGGCGGTAGTAATATAACAAAAACAACAGATATTAATTTAGGAAAACGGAATTCTTCGGTCTTTATTTTTGTATTGAAAAATGAGCTTTGAGTATCAAATTTTATGAGACGAATTTATATTTCTTACTGGAAAAGGGAATTTATTCTTGCTTCCAAGCTATAAAACTGATGATAACTTAGTTGTCGGTTGAGTTTTAAAACTGTGAATAATATTTTTATTTATTTTCGTTTGCGCTCGAAGATGAAGAGGACTATCAAAAAGCAAAAAGTTTAACATGATAATTGGTACATACCTATTTGTACAAAAGTAGAAGTAAAATGTTTATCTGTTACGTATTATCCAGTTCAGAATTGTAAGCAAAAGACGTAATTGTTAATAAAACCTGTATATATACACAGGTTACAATATATAAATAAGAAATAGGCTATTATGTTTTCGGCTTACTCACGTAGTAATTCGACGAGGAACTCGACTAGTTTCAAGCCATGCTAGAGGCTCATATTCATGATCATAATAATTTATTTAGTATGTCTCACGAAAGTTACAATACAAAGAAATAGGCTATTGACACATCACTTACAAAGTACTCATTAGAATTGAATGCCCATTCCTCCAAGTCCTACACTATAAATAAACGTCGTAACAAACTCTATGAATCTCAATCACAAAACAAAGATACATGAGTAGATATCGATTGTACTAAAAGCTACAATCGTGGTCCGCGATGTATCAAAAATTGGCGTTGTCACCTAGAATCACGATTTATTACTTAGAAAAAGGTCAGGATTTCTTAAACGATGTTCCATTGTGTTATTTTGCTGATAAAAATAAACGAGATTGTGCTGTACATCATTTATTTGTGCGTTACGTGACATAATGCTGTTTGTATTGTTATGTAATTGTATTTTTGAAGTTTTTATATAAAAATGAAATAGAAGAATGAAGATTATGATGATATACATAACATAACAGCCTTTTTTCCCCAAAGGCGTGGGCCGAGGTGCACTTAATGCCACTGTACAATGTAACACCCACTTTTCACTACTTATGTTATTAGTCCCATGTAATAGGAAATCAGCTACCGGGCCAAATTTCAGACTCCGTGCTACTACAAAGATTTTTTGAAAAAAAAAACAGTAATACTTTGCCCGAACCGGGAATCGAACCTGAGACCCCATGCCCGGCAGTCGCATTTGTGACCACTAGACCAACGAGGCAGTTGTGATAATATATTTTGTAATTTATTTTTCATTGTGATTCCAATACACAAACTTACAACACAATTTAGAAAGAGAGAGCACGACAGAGATAGAGATATTATCAAAAGTCCTTTAACATATTATTATGATAATTATAAAAGTCAACTAAACAAAACTACTCACACAAAGATCACAATAACTTGTGAGTAATATGTACCTACACAATAAAATAACGATAACAGAATAACGTTGTTTGCAATATCGCAACGTTATTTCAGTCCAACGGTTATTTTTAAACAGACTACGTCGCAAATGTCTCTGACGGGAATGTGGTGATTGTAGCCTAGCTTTGCACTTAGGCTGGATCTATTTTAAACCAGACTGTAAGCAGTTTAATTCTGTTATACACTGAAATAGCTTTTTATGTGATAAGTTAGATGTAGATGTATCTGTTTTTTATATTAATTTTATTAATATCGCATTGATAAAAATTGTAGAAGAGAATAGAAAAAGTTATGCTGGGTGAAAATTATAATAATGCTTTCGCAATATTTCCAGGAATTAACTGGTATCAACCCTTATGTATAACTTTTCAACAACAATAATTTATAGGTACATTTGATTTAGTATGTTGATTTTAGTTTAGGGCAACCGATTTGCTTATAAGCTAAACCAAAATCAGCTCTATGACATGAAAAACCGTATTACAAAATATCATAGGAAAATAGAAATTCTTTTTCGTGAGACATAGTAATTAATTATTATGTTTTCGACTTACTCACATAACTGTATGTAACTGAGGAACTCGACTAGTTTCAAGCCATGCTAGAGGTTCATATTCATAAGCAGCGTCTCGCGACCCGCAACGCGGCGACTGTCGCGCTGCTACTGAGTGTGTAAGTGCCACTGAGAGTGACAGCGCGACAGTCGCAGTGGGTGAGCCTCTAGCATGGCTTAAAACCAATCGAGTTCCTCTTTTTTATGGTATAGGAGGCAAACGAGCAGACGGATCACCTGAAAGTAAGCGATCAGCGCCGCCCATGGACAACCGCAACACCAGAGGAGTCACAGGTGCGTTGCCGGCCTTTTAAAAAGGAATACGCTCTTTTCTTGAAGGTTTGAAGGTCCTCATTAAAGAGTTACGTGAAATAGCCGAAAACGTAATGAAAAATTCTCTTTAACAAATTCTAGAAAATAGAGTTAATAAACTTTACAATAAGTACTATAAGAATCTCTTATGTACTCGAAGTACATAAGAGATACATAACATTCAAGGCTGTTTCTAGAATACTCCATCTATTTGCTATAAAGCACTCGGCTAGTTACTAGAAAAAGTTGGTTTTCACTGAACTACAATAAAAGTATTCCATATTCATAGAATTATGTGCAGAGTGAATTTACAACTCCGCATAGCATAAAACAACGATAAATAAAATTCTTATGCACCAATTTAACACTTAACACAACGTGATAAAAGCTAAGTTTTCAGTTTTAATGTTAACCTTTAAGTATGGACGTAATTTTTTCTTAACACTACTGCGGACGTGGAGTCTCACAGGCTCCTATATGCTAACACTTTTTTTTTGAGAATTTGATATAAGGTTGCTTAAAAACTGATTGGATATTACAGTTAAGGTATTTAGCAATAAAATAACATGCTTATATAATCATCTTTTATTAACAAAAATATAGAAATGTGAAAAATCAATAATTATGGCACTTTTAAGTCTTAATTTACTTAGGCTACATTTTTAGATATTTAAAACAGCTCAACTTATTACTATAACAAAATTTGTCTTTTTTTCTTAAAATATAATAGATAAGGAACCAAAAACACAAAAAACCTACTTCAGGTAACTAATACAAAAAATTTTGACAACAGTCTAATAACGCAAATTTATTGGCAGTCAGTGCACAAAGGTCTAGAACATTGAAGACACACAGGTTTCTTGCACCCTACACAAACATAGGTAGTCATTCTATGTTTTTTCGCGGGACAGATTCTACATGCTCTTCTGGACCCTTGAATGGTTTCTTGATCCTGGACACCTTCTGTAACCATATCATCGCCTAAAACGCGATTCATGGTCAACCTGAGTTCTCTTGGCAATCGTGCATTTATAACACGTCTTTGCACATGAGGCACTACAAGCACACGTGCTAGTTTTTTTAGAAAATCTCCTCTTTCCACAGCTTTTGGTTGATGCATGTTATATAAAATGTACGCATTCATGGCAGTCAAGTCTAGGACACGATATAGCAACACCATGGGCCATCTCCTTGTTCGACGGCTACTGGAGTAAATCGAGCATTTTTTGTCAGCCTCATCGACACCTCCTTTAGTGGAATTATAATACATTATAATTTCAGGTTTTTTTGTATTTTCATCTACCTGGTTACTATGGTGCATGGAAGATACAAGTATCACTGCTCGATTCTTCTTTGGCACGTATGAGCATAACGTTTTTGTGCTCGTAAATCCAAATAAAGTAGAGTTTACTTCTCTTTGCTTTTTTGGCTGAAATTCTTTCGGGATTTCCCTTTTGTTTTTCTTCAGAGTACCCACATACGTCAGTTTCCGTGATGATAGTTGGTCTACGAGCTCTATAGATGAGAACCAATTGTCAGCCGTCACATTACGGTTGGTTCCATGAATGGGTTTTGTGAGGCGTAGGACACACTGAGTTGGAACTAGAAATTTTTTTTCTTGAGCTGTCAGTCCGATACCATCCGAGCCTTTTCCAGAGTAAATATATCCATTATAAAAATAAAAGTTATTGGCATCACATAATGCTCGTATTATCAATCCATACTTACCAGGCTTTTTTGGCATATATGATATCATGTAACTTCTTCCACGAAATTTGACGAGCATTTCATCCACTGTGACACATTCGCTCAATTCATACAACTGTTGAGAATTACTCACAAACTTATTGAAAATATGGGATATGGCAGCCAACTTATCAGCCTTCATTCTCTCTTCACGATCATCAGGGTTGTCAAATCGTAGGCACAATAACAAAACCAAGAATCTTGTCTCTGACATTCCGCACCTAAATATCTCACAACCAGTGCCATCTGAAGCGAACAAGTAACTCGTGTTTTCATCATTTGATTTCAAAACAGCTGAGTAAAACAATAGACCAATAAAGGCTTTTAGTTCAACCATGTCTAAATCATTCAATTCTGGTCTGTTATAACGGACATACTTGGTTCTGTAACTAGAAATTCTATGATTGGTCCAAGTTAGAATGCACTGGAGCATTTCTTCATCAAAAAGTTTATTCCAAATACTGTAGTGATCCTTACCATCTTCAGAAGTCAATTTTGAAGAACCAGCACGAGATGTTATAATATTATGTTGTGGGGTACGTACCCTAGCCAAAGGCGGCGTCTTGGACCATTTATACCTATTTTTGCCGTAGTAATAGTTGCTTGCAACGAACTGCGCTAACGGAATATTGTCGGAACTATCACTGTCGGTCTCTTCTCCTAGGACCTGGTCCGATTCCTGGTCCTGATCTTCATCATTGTCACTCTCATGATTTTGTATTAGTTCGTTTTCCAATATAAACAAACCTTCAATATTCTCTTCATTGTCAGACTGATCCGAAGCTAACAACTCACTCACTTCTTGTTCGAAAGTTGGATCTGCGACACGAAAATTCTTACGCGCAGGGCCTTGCACAGAACCCGTAGACGGTCGTTTTGATTTAGAATTACCGGCATTATTTATTTCTGACATTTTGTACTACAAAATCTGAAACAAACATAATCGCCCTTATAAAATATATTATATGACAACAATGGACGTGTAGCCTAACAGGCTCCAGTCAATTTTTCGATGGTTATAACTCACGTGAGATTCACCGGACGACACAACCTCCTCCCTCGTTGGTAGTTTGGCAACTAAAACAAAAGCTACTGAGCTGCTCAATCGCGGGGAGCGGGGGGAAATAGGTGAAACTATGAAAACGTAAACATTGAGTAGCCTGTGAGACTCCACGTCCATACTTAAAGGTTAAGACTTGGGATGAAATAATAAATGAATACTTCAGACCAAGATAAACGACGATAAGTACTGTTTTTATCACATAAGTTATGATTTCTTTTATTTTCTTTGTTAAATAGTTTATAAGTTTTATTGTTTTAAATGTACATTTTATAAATTAGCTGACTCATCAAAATTCGTACAACCTTTTTTTTCTTACCTTATAATCTTCCCGGCGACTTCCATGAATATTTCAAGACCAATATTAGCCAAATTGGTACAGCCGTTCTCGAATTTTAGTGAGACTAACGAATGGAAATTCATTTCTATGTATATAAATAAACAAATCATAGTTACTCAAACTCAAACTCAAAAGCATTTATTTCAATTAATCCATAACTTGGTACTTTTGAAACGTCAACAAATATGAAATAAATAATAGTCTGTCAGTCTGTCAGTCTGTCAGTGAAGCTAGGCGCTCGTTCCAAAATGTCGATTCGAGTGGAGAAGAACGAGCAACAAACTCCATTCATTACTCTTTAAAAAAAAAGTCTGTTTTACACTGCTATGATACATATTTCAATATTGTACACACATGTGAGAATAATGTAAAGGCATACCTGACGCATCATATAAATAACAGAACGTACTAAAATAAAAAACAACACCAAGAGAAAACAAATATTTTAGTCTGACGTGGTCCTCACATATGTATACCGACAATCCATATAAAATAGTGCTTCTATACAAGAAAAGAAAAATATAAAAAATTAACTCTTGTTTAAATAAAGAAAGAAATGCTCGATGCCATTACGGTTTAATAGTCTATGTACTGTACTTTATGTTTTATGGTGTGCTGTGTGGTGATAGCGGAGTAATATATCTCATACTCTTCCCGTGTTATCGTAAGAGCTAAATAAAGAACTACATAGTTGGTTAAGACCTGAGCAAAAGTACTTTTTTGATATAACTCAATCTTTCAAACCTTAATCACCAATCCGACTAGTAAGTGGAGATCATAGAAAACCCATCAAATATAGAGGGTGCACATAATTTGGCAGAGAATCGACAAAGGCTATTTGAAGACACAAAATGCCTAGACTATACTCAGATGTAGAATAAAATGAGATATCAAATTTCATATATTTTAGCTATAAATCATCACAATATCTAGATTCACAGTTCAATAAGCGTAAGTAAAACGAGTTAGCCTTGACATTTCCAGACAAAATTGTGTGCAGGCTCATATTTCATTTTCATATGAATCTAAGAATGTATTCACTTTATCTAGATAAAGCCTATTTGTTACTTTATTAGAATATCTACGTGTATTCATTCAATGTTCACTTATTAACTGAATTAATTGCAAATAATTTGATATTGTCTTATTGAATAATTGTTGTTAAATATGACTATAGACACAAGCAACACAATTGTTTTAACTATAGACTAGACTTGTTTTTAATAATTAAATTACATTCAAATAAAGAATAACATATA